CTTTGTGGGGAGACAGTGGTAGAAGGAGCACAGAGATCTGAAGTCAAAAGACACAGGGCACCTGGCCAGCTCAGTTGCTGGAGGCTGCGACTCTTGATCTCAGGGTTGTGGGTTCGAGCCCCACGTTGGGTGTAGAGATTACTTAAAAATAAAATCTTTCAAAAAAAAAAAAAGTCTGATCAATGCCTCAGTTTTCTCATCTGTAAAATGGGAGTCAGAAGAGTACCTGCACAGGGCTTTGTGAATGTTTGGGAAGGCTACTCAGAGCCACATTAATAATATAATCTTAGGGATGTCCCATCTCTTACCTGGGTAAGAGATGACCTGCAATCACCTTCATCGGTTATCAAGAGGGTTAAATGACATGACTTTGCAACCCAGGGGCTGGCAACCTACGGTACATGGGCCAGATCAGGCTCCTGCCTGTTTCCCCATATAAAGTCTGTTGGCATACAGCCCCATGCATTCATTTACTCACGTCTAGGTTGCTTTCGTGCTGCAACAGCAGAGTTGAGTAATTGCACTGAGACCAGTTGGCCCACAAGGCCTAACATATTTAGCATCATGTGGCCCTTCACTAAAAAGTTTGCTGAGCCCTGCTGAAAATTCTGGTGGTTCACTTGCTCATGGCCGGAAGTGGAGACTCAAATTCCTGAACTCCAAACTGCTATTTAGGGGTTTGCTTTTATTTCCAGGAGTTAATTTGTGATGAGGAATAGTAATCAATGGTGGCAATCATAATTATCTGTTCTGCGCTTATCCTGCGGCAGCCTGGAGCAAACCCTCAATAAATGTTAGATGTCTGGACGATTTACTGAGATGTTGAGTCAGTATGTTCAGGTCTGTGTCAGTTGCGGCCACGCTGCTGCCTTCTCAGGCCTCAGGACAGAAAGAAACTGGTCAAGGTCAAGGCTCTTTGAACGTTTCACAGGAGATCCTGTTTATTGTGCCAGTGGGGAGGGGAAAGAGGGAATGGTGGAGACATTGGGTCCAAGATGGGAAACAGGGCCATGTCCGGATGTGGTTTGTTTACTGCACAAAGGGAACTGGCCATGAATCTGTGTGGGGCTGAAATCACATGTGGGCCATGTCTGTGAAGGCAGAGTTGTTTGCTTCTAATCCAGGCAACAGCACCGCTGTGCAGGTTAACACGGTCCCTGAGGGAGTGATTCAAGGCCTGAGGTCAATGCATGATGAATCTCAGCCCTCACCTGAGTCCTTTGCAGGATCCAGACAGACTGACATTGGACAAACCACCAGGACGACAAGATAGGGGCTTGGAGGTGGAATTCAGTTGATTAGGAGAAAAAGAAGAGGTTAGCTATTTCCCTCTTTCCTTCTCTTTTGAAACAGCTTTACTGAGATGTAATTCACGTACCATAAAATTCACCCTTTGAAAGGTGCAGCTCACAAGACTGTGCAGCCATCACCACAGTCTAACTCCAGGGCATTTTCGCTGCCCCAGAATGACACCCCACACCCATCAGCAGTCACTCCCCACTGCTCCTGACCCCCCAGCTCCTGGCAACCACTAATCTACTTTCTGTCTCTATACGATTTACCTATTCCGACGTTTCATATAATGGAATCATGTAATATTTGTCCTCTTGTGTCTGGCTTCTCACTGAGCTTCGTGTTTTCTTTTCTTTTCTCTTTTCTTTTTTTTTTCTTTTTTTTTTATTTTTGAGAGAGAGGGAGGGGGAAGGAGAGAGAGAG